TTAATTCATCAATCGTGAATAAAAATCACTCAAAGTATATAACAATTAAATTAATAGTATAATTAAATTTTCATATTTTTAATAAAAAGTGAATTTTAATATAGCTTATAATAATATATTTAATAAATTAAATTAAATTTTTAATTATTTATCTGATTTTTTAGTTTCATTTCATTATCAATTTTTTTAATTCTTCTTTTAAAATTTTATCAATTTGATCTTTTTAAAATAATAATCATATATTATCCTATGACACAAAATTAAATTTATTTTAACTGATTCAAAATGTTTTTTCTCATCAAAATATTTTATTAGATAAAAGTTATTGACCACAATTGATGTTCAAATAAAATAAGGTAATAAATACAATGAAAATCGCGTAAAAATAATTTCAATGAAATATTAAAAAAAAAATTTGTTGATTTTTTTAATCATTAAACTTATTTTTCAAGTGATTTTTTAATATGTTTATAATCTTATTTGCTTCAAACATCAACTAAATTTTCATAATATTCCATGCAAGTAAATGTGATGAATAAATTTTACATTTTTGTTCAGTTGAAAAAAATAATAATAAAATAATGTTTTATAATTATTAATAATCACTATTTTTGAAAGAGTGAAATTAACCTAAATTTTAAAAGAGAAATAATTGAAATAAGTTATATAATGAGATAAAAGATTAAAATATAATTTAATTTATTTAATAATATAAAATTGGTTTATCAAAATTTAAAGAAATGGGTGAGCCACCTCAGCGAGGGTGACCCGGCGTTTATCAGATAGCGACAAACTATTTTAAAAGGAAAGAAAATTCTAGTTTCAAAACGAAGGATCGCCAAGTGTTGCCATTCAAAACTAATTAATCTTTCTTAATAATTTCTTTTCTTTCTTTCATATTACATTTGTTTTTCCAATTTCATTTCAAAAATTTGACACTTTAAATTAGATAATCAAAATTAGATTTTATTATATTTTTAGTGGGAAAGATATATTGTTTTTTTCTTTTATGAATATTCTTACAAGAATGGAATTACGGCTGATAAAATATCTTTTTTTTTAGTCAACATTCATTCAATTTATCTATAAATAAATTCATCTGATTCATTTATTATATAAATATAATAATAATAGATTGAATTTAATTTATTTATTTAATTTTATTGATAGATAATATTTTTTATTATTTATTAAAATTTATTGAATTACAATAAAAATATATTGGATTGAGATTTTAAAAAATTAGTTTGATATAAAAAAGTTTTCTTTTTTCATTTTTAAAAATTTTATAATAATACAATATATTTCATGGATGAATCGAATTCATTCATTAAAAAACTTTTAACGGATGAATCGCATGAAAGTGTATTGGATAAAAATTTAAAAATTGTTTTGAATAATTTTTTAAAAGTATTTTATAATTTGACTTATAAATTATGGTTAGATGTATATGTCAAATTTTATTATATTTGACTATATGAATTGTGTCATTTAATAATTTTTTAATACATTATTAAGTAAATCAAAGTTTTGTATTTTAAAAAGTTAAATATATTTTTAGTCTTTTATGTATGAGATAAATTTGATTTTAATTTCTTGAATTTAAAATTTTTGTTAATTATGTAATTTAAAAAATATATATTTTAACCTTTTATTTAATCATTGTTATTAAATCTATCAAATATTGTTAAATAAATAAATTATTTATTATTAATAATATGACACATTTTTACTCTGAATAATTAAACAAAAGAATTTAAATAATTAAGAAAATTTCATAAATTTTTTTCTAAGCACCATTATTCAATAAAAGAGTTCTGAATCTATTCCAACAATTTTGTTAAACAACCTAATAAACTACATATAAAATTAAAATAAGGCACAAACTACCCCTTTTAACAAAATTTCAACAATTAAACAAAAAGAGTTATAGTTTAAATAAAATCCATTAAAATACTAAAACTAATTTCTTGCCCCGATGTCACATTAATTAGAGCAAGACCATCCTTTATGCTTTTTCCTTATCAAACACATTTTCTTGTACTTCTACTAGTCTAACAAGTGGCATTCAACCTAAATACAAACATACAAACATAAGGAATGAGAAAACATCTTATCTGCACATAACATATATAGGGTACAAAGGTAGACACACACATCTATAACATTAATTACGTTTCACATACATATAAACATCTTTTCATAAAACTATTATAATCATCTCCACACATTAATTCATCATTCGCACTAAGTTAGTCATACAATATATCTGAATCATAATTAAGACTCATGTTATGCATGCTCCTAACTCTATATGCATGTTGTACCAATCTCCCCATCATCCTCAAGAATACAGAATAGCAAAGGAGTAATGGAATGTGACCACCCCATCAAATAGTATAAGGATTACCGTCAATAATGATCTCCTAAACCATCTCAATTAGGAGATGTCTATCAAAGTCATGCCGAAGTGTTATAGTTGGCCATGTAGACTCCTATTTTTGTTAGAGGTTTCCCCACCATAACATCTCCAAAGCATAATTAAATGACTTATGATATTCCACCTACATAGACTCACACAATCCTACATAGCAAAGTATGAATGCAAGGACTCAATACACTCAATATAACAACACAATATGCATACTCAACTCCTTGAGTGCCAAACTACAACACTGGACTTATTTCATATATCTTATCACATTACTCGTAGTACTTCAACATATCATACATCTATATAACTTCTCATATAACATCTTCACACAACATAACATTATACATTATACATTATTACTATTCATACTATTCATTTATCACATATTATAACATTTATCATTATAACATCATTATAATAACATCTCGATCATAACATTATCATTATCGAACCTCAAACATCATAACTCTATACACTATCATTACTCATATCACATATAAGCACTTAAAAAATAAAATAACTCACCAATATAACTAATAAATGATCTCTTTTTATCTTAAGTTTCTATGGCGTATTGTGTGGTTTAAGTGTGTTATCTAGATATGTACTTGTGATATCAAATTGATCTTAATTTTATTTAAAGGTTAAGATAATTATGTACAATTTTTATGTTGGCTTCAAGAGTTGATTTTATCATATACTATTTCTAAAAATTAGAAATCCACAATATTTAAGTCTAATTCTAACAGTTTGACCTTTGCTCACTAATTGAATCATAACTTGAGTTCTAAATCTCATTTTTAGTGATTTCAGTGTCGTTGTAAAACTACCATCTAAGCCTACAACTATTATGAATACCATGAAACTTAAATTTGTCATATATATAAGGGTCCTAACGATGCTTATAAGTTTCAAACATTATGTTTCACACATAGAACGTGAGACGCATCTTGTGACTCACATAACTCGGTCGTTTCTTAACATTTTTATATGGTTCTTGTAGGTTTAGGGTTTAGAGTCAAACATTATTATTTATTCTTGAAAAAAATGAGATGTTACACACTTATTGTAAATTTAAATTATGAAGAAGTATTGGGTACAATCTTAAAAAATATAGGGAGTGCGAGTATAATTTACTCAATAATTCATATAATAAACAATATATTTTACAAAACCCATCATAATTTTATAAAAATACCTTTAATTAATTGTTAAAATGCATATTACTATTATTATTTTCAAAAAGCTCTCCTCATATTAATATAATTATTTTTAATTCTTTTATAAAATATGTTTTATTAATTAAAAACATTCTTTATTATTTTTATAAAATTTGGGGTGTTATAAGACTAAACCAAGTCAACCCGTTGTTTTAACTTCGAATATATTAACATATATATAGTTAAAGTATGAAATAAAAGAGACCTAAAATTAAGTTGTATCTTACAACATATATTTTAAAATAAACATCTTTATAAATATAGTATAATGTTATGCAAAGTATTATTTATTAAAAAATAGTTTTATTATTAATAAATAATTATTTTAAGAATTTATATATTTTAAAATAAATAAGGATGGGTTGAAACGTTGAGAAGTATAACTAAACTCATCCTAAAATTTATTAGGTTAGATTTGGAGATTTTGAATCCATTCAAAACATTAAGGGTCTATGTTGAATCTATGGACAAATTGAATTTTATTCACTTCTAGTTGGTTTAAGAGAGAGAGATTGAGATATAAAGATAAGACATTTTATGATATTATGATCCTTTAACACATTATCACTTGTCATTAATGACGTACAAGTTTAGGATTTCAAAAATATTCTAACATTCTAGTGTATCATTATTAATGATACATAAGAATAGACAAACACATTAATATTTCAACACGTTAACATATTATAATCAATACACATAAATCCATGTTAAGAAATATGGGTAACTAATCCCAATTTCTCAACGTCAAAATTAAAAATAAGAAAATAAAAACCGTTATATGTGTTAGTTTGGACACTATTCACTGTCATGTGTTATTCTTGTACATATTTATTTTTTTATAATAAAAAATAAAAAAGTCATCCAAAATATCCCAGTCCAGTAATAATTTTTTTTGGAAATGTATGCTATTTTGACAAATTATTTTAAATTTTATACGGATCGTAAACAAAGTCGTCTCCTTCTTGAATTATCTTAGATTTCACGTAATATACTTATAAGCTCAGGAGAAATTATTAAGTAATATTAAAGTACATAGTTTTTAATTACAATATTTATGAGATAAGATATTAGTTAGTATTCTTCTACGACTTAATTAAATGTGATTAACTTTTCTATAAATTGACATTAAATCGCATATACATTGGCTATATATTAAACACATGCTGATTCTTTACGCTAGTTTTTAGTTTCTCTCATCGCTCTGCATCGATTCGTGCCTACCATTAAAAATAAAAATAAAAATCAGTCAATGAACATATTTCACGTAGTATCCGAATTCTAATAGTAAAATCCAATTCACCCTAACAAAGATAAGAACTCGCAATAAAAGAAGAAAAAGAAAGGACTCAAAATAAACAATAGCATATGCTTGAACACCCTTACTTTGTCTCTAGTCCCACTTTCCCTTCACTTTCTCTGTTCCACTACTGACTCCACCAAAACCCCACAACACAGCACAACACACTCCTCATGTTGAATGATCAAACTCAAACATCTTCTACAAGCCATGATGCCATAGAGGAAGAAAACACTGATACTAGCAATGAGCAACAAGTAAGAGAAATCCACGCCTTAACCCCAAGAAGAGAGCCTAATTGGGAAACACACAGCCACCAACCTTCTTCTGTTTCCACTGAGAACTTCAGCATGAGTAGGGAATTCAGTGCCCTCGTTCTGGCAGGCTCAAGCATCGACCATAGTCCCTTGAGTGTCATGCATGGCAATGAAGGGGGTGTTAATAGTAATAGCAACAACACTAACAACAACAACAACTTGAACTTGGGGAGGATTGGTGAGGATGATGAGTTGTTGATGATGGAAGAGACTAACCCTTTGGCGATTGTGGCAGATAGAAACCCTTTGGAGGAGGTTTCGGCTTCTAGGGGTGGAGGGTCTTCTTCTAGTGGTGGTGAGGTGACACTGCAGAGGGTGAGGAAGGAGGAGGTTGAGGCAAAGATTGCGGCTTGGCAAACTGCTAAGGTTGCCAAGATCAATAACAGGTTCAAGAGGGAAGATGCTGTTATAAATGGCTGGGAGAATGAGCAGGTTCAGAAAGCAACTTCATGGATGAAGAAAATTGAGGTATGTATTTTGTCCTTTTTTTATCCACAGAAATTATAATGAAGGTAACATAGTTTGAACTTAATACTACCTCAATCCTCCGTCACTAAGTCAACTTTAGGGATTCCTGGTATGTATGTTGTCTCTGAGTTGTCAATTGAATGAGTATCCAATAGGGTTGTGTGATTGTGTCTGGTGGAAGGGGTTAGTCCTTCACAAGGTAGTGAAGTGAATCAAGCTTTGAATTCTCAGTAGGATTACTTATCTATGGGGAAAAAATGACTTGTAGGTATTATGATTTGATTTGCCTAGCATGTTATATAGTAATTCAAGAGTTGAATTTTGGTTACTTTTTTTGGGGGGAGTTAGTGGGTTGGTTAGCGATCATGATTAGTTGGTATGGATTTTTTGGTGATGGTGGTGCTTGTTTATGATGATTACTCTCGAGACTGAAATTGTATTTTTAGATTTGTGAATTGTTGATCCAATCAATTGGTGAATAACGGAATGCTTACCTTTATTCTGGGTCTTCATAAAAGTGGGTTTTTTTATATCTGAAATTAAAGAGTGAATAAGGTTGACAAGTTAGGGGCTAGGGTTTGACACCCTTGATGATTGCTTCATTATTGTTATTTGAACTCTTGGATCATGGATCAATATATTTTAACATAAGGTGGGAATCATTTTCCCTTGACGGTTTTTGGAGCATGGGAAAGAAGTTTAATTTATTTCTATTATTATCATTATTTCCCTAAAGTTTTAGCGGCAGCAGATAGCCTTTGAATTTTTATGTGTTTGTGGTTTTAGCATGCAATCCAAGGGCTTGATTTTGATCATATGAAGGCTTAAAGTCTAAGTCTTCTCAGGTGGAAAAAATCTGTTATTTGAAAAGTTGAATTAGGATTTGGCTCCTTAAGTTCTTCTTTTTCTTGCTTGGGCTAAGGGAGGGTGTCATGCTGATTTGAAAGTTATAAAATTAAAATATCATCCACCTGCAAGCATCTTCTGCATTTTTTAATGAGCAAAATCATATTATTTTGGTTAATATAATAATAACATGGTAATATATGAAGGGAGTCATTTGGGCTGCATCCATTGCCTTATCTTCAACGCTACTTTTACAGTGTCAACAAAAAGAGCTGAAAACACGGCCAGCAAATAGCAAGTGGTCTAATGATTTGATTTTGATGCTAATTTCATTTTAAAAATCAAAGAAATTAACTTTATTGGACAGTAAAACATAACTTTGACCAACAAAGTGCACAAAACTGTAATTACAATTTTGTCCATCACTAACCAAATATTTTCACTAATTGTGCAGAGAAAGCTAGAGGATAAAAGAGCAAAAGCAATGGAGAAAATGCAAAATGAGGTAGCAAAAGCTCATAGAAAAGCTGAGGAGAGAAGGGCATCAGCAGAGGCTAAAAGGGGAACTAAAGTAGCCAGGGTTCTGGAGATTGCAAACCTTATGAGAGCAGTTGGAAGAGCACCAACCAAAAGATCTTTCTTTTAAGTTATACTATAATAAATAAATGTTATATTTTTAAACCACATTTAAAGACAAAAAAAAATGACCAAAAAGAGAAACATAGAGAGAAAAGATCATGGCATAATAGATGACATAGTGTGATGAGAGCCCCTTTTTCCTTTTAAATTTAACTTAAAGGGTTAAAGAGGGGTAGCAGCAGTATAAAGAAAAAGAAGATATGGGGGTATAAGTATAAACTATTATATATTATATAGAAACCAATTGGAGTGTTTTTGAGTGATTGATTAGTGTATTAGAATTTATAGACATAATGATCATTTGTTTGGTTGTGCTGATTAAACGTTTTGTACATTAATATAATGCTTATATTGTAATTAGTTGGCTTCCACTACTTGCAAATGCATTGCCGACACGTAACTGTGTGTGTCCAACATTTATGCAATTTTTCTCCACAATATTTAGATTTTAGCTTACCAAACTGGCCCTCACAAATCTTCCTAATCAGTTGTTAATTCTCATACCCCATCATGGGAAAAAGAAATAATTGTTAGTTTATGAGAAAATATCTTGCAGATCATGCTAAACTTATAAGGAGGCTTAACGCACTAAAAGACGTAAAAGCTATCATGGTAACTTTATACACTTACATTATTAATATGCAAAGTGTATCTAAACACAGTAAAATGTAGAGTTGATTGATCCAACCTTTTAATGAGAAGATTAGGGGTATCCGTAACACTGCTTGAGAAGCATATATGCTCAACAAGAAGGGTGCTTGTACAGTTTTGTCCGGTGGTCCTTAATAGCTGAGGGTGGTTTAACAATGTTTGTGGGGTTAGGAAAAGTAAAATAAAAAGTTTATATGATAAACATAAATAAATAAATATTAGGAAAAGTAGGATGTGAGATTATATATAGAATCCATTTAGTAAAATCTTTGGAGTTACTAGATTAGAGAGACGAACCACCAAACGCACGAATCAAATGCACGTCACCATGTTTTTTCAACTTAGTTTCAAGTTCGGTTTTTAAGTATGTTTTGAACAAGATTGTCTAGTGAAGGATAACAATGTCTATATTAAAAAAAAGTTTAGAGAGATGAGGTGCTTAAATTTTAAGAAATATATATGATCGATACGTAACCCATTTAAGAACCTAAAAACAAAAAGTGAAAAAAAAAATAAGTTCTTAGGATGGAGATGACCTTGGTAAAGTAAAACTCTAATTCCAGTTTGATAACACACAAAAACAAAATCTAGATCTAAATTTTGCTAATTAGTAAAAGTAAGAACTATGTTATTCATTGGTGAAAGGATTAGACAAGTGAAAACATGGTAGACCAGACAAAAAACAAAAGTTGATGCTCAACTTTTGGTTTTGGACAGATATTGCGCTGTGATGTTGCTAGTATTTCATCACCTCAAGTAACTAAAAAGTTTTCACGCTTTCAATTTAAAATCAAGAGCTAGAGTTAAAAACAGTAGAAAGAATTTTTGTTTTCTAGTGTATTTTTGTGTTTCGAACGTGAGTCTCCAGTGGAAAGCAATTTTCACCAATACTGGTCTAAAAAAGGATTGAGTGTTACCATGGAACACAGTCAACAATACTTGATACAATGTCTAGCTTGATAAATTCATTACCAGCCAAAAGGAGATTCTTGGCAATGAAATATCAAGGCATCATTCTTATTGTTTCAATTTCTCCTATTCCTGTGTACAAAGAGATTTTCTAGTCGTTAGCCCCATGATTTAGCCAATCTTGTATCCATGGAGTCAATCACGAAAAATTATTATATGGTTTGAAACTACTGCATATTCATGATCTTAACCAATTTTCACATGATATGAAATCATATTTTTCAATTTACAAGAAAAAGTTAATTAAATTCGACTATATGTCACGTGGAGATTGACTAGAACTATGAATACATGGTGGTCCTGAACGATACAACAATTTCTCGCCACTGCTATTTCAACAGTTTTCAGGCAATAGAAGTACCCATAAAGGATGTTTCTTTTTCTGCAGCAAATTAATTCTCAGTGGGTTGCCAATACAATAATTAAATATTTTTCATTTATCTTAGATGGGCTTCACAGATTTCTTGAACTATTGCTTCATGTTTTCTTGTTTATCTTTGGAGTTTGGACCCATGGCAAGATTTCACAAGGATATATTTCTGCATAAAAATATGATAGGAGCTGGTTTATAATTTGAAACAGTAACTAAATCCTCTATACACCATATTCAAAAATAACTGCAGTAATATTTAAATCAACTTGCTCCACAGCATGCTTGAACTCTGCTTTCATTTTTATCAAGTATAATCCTTCTAGTCAAGTTCTGGATTTTGTACAAAGATTACAAATGTAAATGATTTTGGTTCATTTTGCATCCTAATGATAACAACCATTAAGAACAAAAAAAGCTGCTGCACCAGTTTTAACTCAAACTTCTGCCAGTCACTGTACAATGAACATTACAATAGATGCTATAAATATTTTTCCAACTTTTTTCTTTGTTAGAAGTGGTAAACATACAAAATGAAACTATCAGAAAACTGTTATGAAAGAGCAATCTACTGGAAAATCCCCCCCTCCATCCTCTAGGAATATTGTTGAAATCTTGCTATTGAAACTACAGCAATTTGACAATATTATGTCACGGGGAATCTGAATCTGATATCAGTAAGATTATTTATGTTCTCGCTGCTCCAGCATATTTCATCTTTTAATAGATCCAGATTCGCATAGATTTCTCTGCTTTGAGGGTGGTCTTTGTCACTTGCTATAAAATAGTGAACCTCATTGTCTATCTCAATCCAGCTTGAACCTGTTTCTTTAATTAATTTCAAGTCATTCATAGTTGTTCGCACCATTGCAGCCTCTTCCAGCATGCCACCTTCAGCATACATATTTGATACAAGTATGTAAGAGGAGGCCTCATTGGGGGCTAAATCAAGCAATTTTCTGGATGCCCACATTCCAAGTTGTAAATCACCGCACAGCTTACAGGCATTGACAAGAGTCCTCCAAAGCAAAGAAGATTCGTGAAATGGGCTTTTGTCAATGATATCGATGCCTTTGGATAGATTTCCAGATCGACCTAAAAGATCGATCATGCAAGAGAAGTGCTCAATCACAGGCCTAATCCCATACTTTGATTCCATCTCATTGAATAAGCACAACCCAATTTCCCATAAACCTGAGTAACTACATGCTTGGAGAACAGCCAACACTGTAATCTCATCAGGAGCAAAACCTTGTTCCTGCATCTTCTCAAAGAGCAAAAGTGCATTTTTTCCTTCACCATGAAGGGCATATGCAGAAATAATGGCATTCCAGGTAACACAATCGTGGTTCATGCCACTAAATATTTGATAAGCATCCTGAACAGTACCACATTTAGCATACATTGTAATTACAGCATTGCCTACAGCAGTATCATGTTCAAGTCCCACCTTTATAGTGTAAGCATGAAGACTCTTACCAGTTACCAAGCATGCTTGATTGGCAGATAAACAAAGGAGCCGTGAAAACGTTACACAATCAGGTTTCACACCATTGAATCTTAGTTTGCTGAAAAAACCCATAGGATCTTCGTCATCGTCTCTTATTTTTGAATTCAGGTATCCAACTAGAATAGCATTAAATGAAGCAATAGTTTTATTTGGAAGTCTGTCTAAAATTGCTCTTGCAGACCGCAAACTTCCACATTTAGCATACAAATCTACTAAAGCAGTACCACTATTTACATCAGAAACATGACCAAGCTTCATTGCAAGTCCATGAATTTGAAGCCCGAATTTCAAATTATTCCACTCTGAACATCCATCAAGAGCAGTGCTGAAGCAACCAGAATCAAGAGGCACACCAATCTGAAGCATTCTTAAGAAAAATTCAAATGCCCTATTAGCATAACCATTCTTAACAAATACTGAAAGAAGTGCAGACCAGGAAATCAAAGACTTCTCATCCAGTGCAACAAACACTCTCTCGGCCTCTTTGACCATTCCATGTTGCCCATACATTGTAATCACTGCATTGCCAAGTGATGTTTCACCCATAAAACCATACTTCATTGCAAGCCCGTGTAGTTGCTTCCCTACATATAATCCAACACTCGAATCACACGCACCGATCAAATTCGTAAACGTGAAATCACTTGGTTTCAATCCACATTGTAGCATATCCACGAAAATCCAAAACGCCTTATCCCCCAAGCCTGCCTTGCCATATTCCAAAATCATATAATTTATGCACTGAGCATCTTTCCCGCTTATGCCACCAAAGACTTTTTCTGCATAACCCAATTGACCACTTTTAAAGTACATAGAAACCAATGAAGTGGCCACAACAACATTCTCCTGAAGCCTATTTTTTACGACAAAAGCATGAACCTGCTCCCCGAAAACACGATCTTCCGGGGACCTACATGCCTGTAGGACCACGGAACAAGTATGCTCGTTGAAATTCTCATGAACCATGCACATATCACGTGCAATGCAGAAAACAGACCCGACATCCCCACTCTTCAAATACCCCCTCATGAGGGTAGTCCATGTGACTGTGCTCCTCACAGGCATTTCATCAAATATCCTCTGTGCATCACCCATGTTATTGAATTTTGAGTAAAGGTTCACAAGATTGTTGTCCACAAACAATTCACCTTCACAACCACGTTTGATTAGAGAGCCATGAATTGCCTTTGCCAGCATATAATCCTGTGACCCAATTGAGAATTGAAGGAGCTGAGGCCAGTCATTAAGAAGAACAGTGTTGTTATGCTTAGAGGGTGAAACAACACGACATTGGGGTGTCACAAGTTTGTGGCTTTGAGAGGGTTTGGGAAAAGTGGGGTGGAAGCCATTATAGGGTGGAAGGAAGTGCAAAGGGCATGCAGAAGAAGGAATAATGCATTGTGGAACAAGGGGTTGGAACAATGGTTGAACCATTGGGTTGAAGTTGATCAGAATCAAAATCAACTAAGAGTTATTGCTTTCATAGGGTGAAAAATAAGACATGTAAATGCAACATTTTATAATCATTCATCAACCATAGGACGGAACTCAACAACTATCTCTTACATATAATCTTCAGTCGCATGAAATGTAATGAGTCGGTTTGTTTTAATTTATTCTTTTATAAAAGTATTTTTTTAAAATTTTATATATGTTTGTATAAACTGTTGTTTTTTAAAATAGTATTTATTTTTAATAAACAATTTCTATCTTATTTTTTACAATTCTTTTAGAAATCATTTTTTAAATTTTTTTAGAAAGATTTTTTTTTCATCTTATTATTATCACGCTAAATTAGACTTTTAACATTTATCTTATTTTTTTATATACAAATCGATCATTTTATGATATTTAATTCAGTCTTTTATGTATAA